TAAAAAAATCGCATTAGTTTACAATAACAGAATCACAGATTACGGCAATTCAACACAAACTTGGATGTCACAAATTTCGTTCAATGTGATGTACGGAAAGCTCAATTTAAACATCGGCTTCATTCGAGAAAACAACATTCAATTCATTCCTCAATGTGATCATCTCCCAGGTACGAATTTTCGATCAATTCATGAAAGTAGAAAATTTCTCGACTGGAGATTATATTAGGTTTAAATAGAACTTTTCCATTTTTGTGGTGAATACATGTGACTTGACGCCAAGGACTGTTTTATTTGATTCAAGTAAATGTAGCTCAAGAAGAATTAATCGATATTCACCGTAAGATCTTGTTTATTTAAAATTGGTTCAAGTATATAATACTTGTTACAAGAAAGAAACATCTCAATGAAAATAATTATAGGCCTAGTTGCCAAAGTATTTGGATATCCTTAATTCAGATAAATACGTGAGTTCATTAATTTCCAAAAAATATAGTTTCATTCCAAATTAAAAAATCGAAGCCACGAACGATTCCTGAAATAAAAAATTCAACACTGCGAAATTGCGTAATATTTCTGTATGATTCAGCTAAGAATGTACTCAATTAATCTCAATATTTCATTGAATAGTTTTTCCCTCGTTGAATTCAGGTTGATGAAGCGCATTGGCCGAGTAGTACTCTCAGAAAGGCGATAAATCTCGACGGATTTTCGCCCAGTCGACGCGGTATGGCCGGGCTATTGGACGACTATATGTACGCATTTCTCTCCCTCACACTCATCGGCATTCCGAGGCTCTTCAGAAGGGGTGGGTTATGTGTTTGTGTTTATATATGTGGGACGCAGTTGCGGTACGATGTTTCGTGTTTCGAGTAACGCGCAGTAAACCCGATACATCAAGCTACGTTATTAGCTGGCCACGCCACAAATCTCTGGGTAGTGTGATAGTGGGGGCGCGAGAAAACCTTATTCAACTCGAGAATTCGAGAATTCGCCACATTAACTTCATCAATTTATTTGCGGTAATTAATGGATACGAACTTAATTGGAGGAGTGCAGAAGGGATAGCCTTAAAGTATTCTAATTCTACGAAATGAATAAGTTATTTATGAATAATTTCGTTATTTATTTAAACTATTTCCATAAATCCATTTATTCAGCTGAAATAAGCATTTTATCTTGAATTTTTAAAAATCGTTCGCTTTTCCCCAGACGTTTTCAAAACATTCGAATCTTCATTCCTCAATTTCAAAATAATTTTTTTTCCCAAAAAAAAAATTTGTCCCCGTATTCAACTGCCTCGAGAATTCGCCGCATTAACTTCATCAATTTATTTGCGGTAATTAACGGATACGAACTTAATTGGAGGACTGAAGAAGGGATAGCCTTAAAGTATTCTAATTCTACGAAATGAATAAGTTATTTATGAATAATTTAGTTATTTATTTAAACTATTTCTATAAATCCATTTATTCAGCTGAAATAAGCATTTTATCTTGAATTTTTAAAAATCGTTCGCTTTTCCCCAGACGTTTTCAAAACATTCGAATCTTCATTCCTCAATTTCAAAATAATTTTTTTTCCCAAAAAAAAAATTTGTCCCCGTATTCAACTGCCTCGAGAATTCGCCGCATTAACTTCATCAATTTATTTGCGGTAATTAACGGATACGAACTTAATTGGAGGACTGAAGAAGGGATAGCCTTAAAGTATTCTAATTCTACGAAATGAATAAGTTATTTATGAATAATTTAGTTATTTATTTAAACTATTTCTATAAATCCATTTATTCAGCTGAAATAAGCATTTTATCTTGAATTTTTAAAAATCGTTCGCTTTTCCCCAGACGTTTTCAAAACATTCGAATCTTCATTCCTCAATTTCAAAATAATTTTTTTTCACAAAAAAAAAATTTGTCCCCGTATTCAACTGCCTCGAGAATTCGCCGCATTAACTTCATCAATTTATTTGCGGTAATTAACGGATACGAACAATTGGAGGAGTGAAGAAGGGATAGCCTTAAAGTATTCTAATTCAACGAAATGAATAAGTTATTTATGAATAATTTCGTTATTTATTTAAACTATTTCTATAAATCCATTTATTCAGCTGAAATAAGCATCTTATCTTAAATTTTTTTAAATCGTTTGTTTTTCCCCAGACGTTTTCAAGACATTCGCATGATCTTCGTTCCTCAATAGAATTTTGAACAATATTATTATGAAAAATAAATATCAATGGCGGTTGAATACACATTGAGTAATAATTAATTAATAAAATTAATAAAATTAATAATTAATCAATTTTTGTAAAAGTTATTAAATTTCCTTCATCTATCAATTCAGTTGATTTCCCTCACTTAAATCTGTTCCCCTCCACCAAATATTCCCGCGCGGAACCTGTATATAATTTTTCGGCAGAGCTAATTTTTTGTTAATAACCAAACAAGAAAATAAAACCCCATGACCATTGTCAATCATAAAAAACTAAAAAATAAACCCCAATTCAACAAGCTTCACATTCAGATTACCTTATCCTTTACTCCCTCCCGCCGCCCGCCCCATCCCCCGATTCTTTTGTTACAAGAAAGGCGCAAGCATAGCCCTCCGCTCGCTCCTTCGCCGGAGTGTTTTAATTTTCATCGGAGCAGCTATTAACTTTTACGAGTAGCCGTTTACTTTTTAATCCGTTTAGCTCTCGACGACCTGAAACGCTTATATCTTTAATTCAACCTCTCGGCGAGCGTCGAGCGGTTGAATACAGGAGAAAAAGATGGAGGGGTGGGTGGGTGGTTGGGGGTTTACAGAACAAGAGGAAGTGTATGTACTGGGAGAGCTAGTGAAGCAAGCCCGAACGGCGTCGGCCATCGAGAAACTCCGGGGAGGGGGTGTATGACGCGAGGGAAAGCAAAGTGCTGCCGGCATACACAGCAACGAGGAGGGGGAGGAGGGGAGGGTGGTTTGTGGGTGCAATCGGTACGGTGGCGGCTCCCCTGACGCCCGTTACGTTAATTAAATACATTGTTGCGGGGACACAGGCACTCCCAGTATGTACCCTCGTGCTTTATAGGTGTGAAGGGCATCCCCTCCGCGAGGCACTCAAACCACTCACTATTTTCCCGGGGATTGTTTTCTTCGTTTTGATGATTTTTTGGCGGCTATTTTGAGGATTTTCGATCGTCCAGACGACTTGAGCCATGATTTCAACCATAGGATTTCGATTTTATCCATAAAATTTCACACATTCAATGGGAAATATACTGTTGAAGACATACAATTTCAAAAGAGGATTTGACACATGAAGTGTTGAAAATATTGTTCAACGCATATTATTTTAGCCTAGGATTTGACCCACAGAATTTCAGTCGGACGATTTGACCCATAAAATTTCATCCATTCGATGTGAAATATACTATTTGATGCGTAATATTTCAAAAAATGATTGGACACTTGAGGTCTTGAAAATATTATTCAATGCATATTATTTTAGCCTAAGATTTGACCCATAGAATTTTAATAGAACGATTTGACCCATAAAATTTCACCCATTCGATGTGAAATATACTATTTGATGCGTAATATTTCAAAAAATGATTGGACACTTGAGGTCTTGAAAATATTATTCAATGCATATTATTTTAGCCTAGGATTTGACCCACAGAATTTCAGTCGGACGATTTGACCCATAAAATTTCATCCATTCGATGTGAAATATACTATTTGATGCGTAATATTTCAAAAAATGATTGGACACTTGAGGTCTTGAAAATATTATTCAATGCATATTATTTCAGCCTAGGATTTGACCCACAGAATTTCAGTCGGACGATTTGACCCATAAAATTTCACCCATTCGATGTGAAATATACTATTTGATGCGTAATATTTCAAGAAATGATTGGACCCTTGAGGTCTTGAAAATATTATTCAACGCATATTATTTTAGCCTAGGATTTGACCCACAGAATTTCTTGAATATTCACACAATTATATCTTAGTAATTCTCGATTCTCAGGTCCATACCTTGAGAATTATGAAAATTCGGGCAACAACTTTCCCGAATTCTCAATCTATTGAAAATTGAATTGTATGTGATCTTCAATCAAAATTATTTAACATGAAAAACCCAATTTTTTTGAATTTTCAAGATAAATAAGAAATTTAGTGAACGTCTTCATTTGAAATTGAATTCAACCTCTCAACATTCAAAATTCAGATGACAATGTGTCTGAAATTTTAAGAAATTTCTAACAGTGCAGGATTTGACCTATAGAATTTCAGTCGAACGATTTGACCCATAAAATTTCACCCATTCAACGTGAACCATACGATTTGATTCATACACTGTTAGAAAAGGTGGAACGATTCAGTTGCGCCAAACGAGGCTTCTTAACTGTTACCGCGATTCGTTAATAGTTAACGAATCGTGGTAATAGTTAAAAAGTCTCGTTTAGCGTTCTACACTGATAGAATGATTCATTTATTCCAAACGAGATTCGTTAACTATGAACGAATGGTAGAGTTGAATATGACCAAATGAATATTCGTTAATAGTTAAAGAATGGATCACTTGAATGGCGAAAGTCAAGTCAAACAAGGCTCCTCAAATATACATTCGTTAACTATTAACGAATGAACATTTGGTGGAACCGAATAGACCCTAACCTCCAACCAAAATCCATTCGTTAACAATAACTAATCCGTTCAATCAGTGTATCAATGTACAATTTCAATGAAATGCTTTGCCCTCAAATGAACTTGAAGCAAACAACATTCAGAAATCCTTATTTCTCAACCCATATTTACCGATACGATTTAACCCATAAAATGTTATTTATATTCCTTGACTCATTATCCAGCCATACGATTGACCCCCGCGCTCGACGCACAGTCTCACCCAGGCAGTCCTTACCTCCTGCCGAAGAAACTCGTTGTGAACCCTAAACAATAACGCCTGTTTCTCAGTCCAAAAATAACACAAATGTTTTTTTATAATTCCAGGTGTGGTTTCAAAACAGAAGAACCAAATGGAGAAAGAAGCATGCAGCCGAGATGGCAACGGCTAAGAGACGACAGGAGGAAGTTGAGGGTGTAGTTGGAGAGAATGAGGATGGTTGCAGTGACGGTGAGACTGAGACGAGCGGTGAGACAGCCGCTAAGAGGCTCAGACGTGAGCTTGAGCAGCAGTACGGGCCGTGAGGAAAGATGAGGCACGGGGGTGGAAGGCGTGGCCATGGACTATAGGGGCGGGTACATTCATAGGGCGCGAGGGAGCACTGGGCGTTCAACGAGGGAGAGGTACATGCTACCCCCTGTGAACGGAGAGGAATCCTCGAACGAGAGGGAAAACCGAGCCCTTTTTTTCGAACAACGTTGATGCTACCCTCACCCCCTCCCTCTAAGTTCCGTTTTATTCCATTCTTTTTATTATTATTTTTTCCCTCTCGTCCTATCTCTCATCCCGGTGGATTTTTACTCGCGATACTGGCGGGGGGAATGCCCCTGATGACGGGGAAAATCCGTCGCAAAATCATCGTGAAGTCAGTGCAATAATTATTTCTTTCGTACATTTCGATTTTTTTAAGAGGGGGGATGAGGAACATGGAAAAAATATACTTGATTCAAGCATATTTTATACTCGAATGGGGGATGGGGGTTTCAATTCGAGGATGATTAGGGGAGACTGGGGTAAAATGGACACTTTAGACTTTTGTTTTAATTACCCATAACTCAGAAACAAATTTAGCAATTCAGCTCAGTTTAGGCTCATCACAAAGGGAAAGAATTGTTCTTTGCAGTGGATAAAAAATTATTGAATTTTATCAACATTTCAGGCCGTCATTAACATTTTAAAAAAAGTCAAAAGTGTCCATTTTACCCCTACCTCCCCTATTTCGTGTCACCCCGCGTTGTGCCAAGCGCTCTCAAGTGGAATGTAAGGGTCGGACACTAAATGTGAGAACTTAAGGGGCAAAAAGTGGAGGTTAAAAAATGAGGGTTGGAATATTAGAGTTGAAAACTGAGGGCCTGAATGTAAAGGTGAAGGATTGAGGGTCAGAATGGTAGGGTTAAAAAAAGAGGGTCAGAATATTAGGATAAAAAAATTAGGGTCTGAATATAAAAGTAAGAAAAGTGGGTGTCAGGCAGTGAGGGTTATATAAGGGCTAAAAACGGTGATCAAGCATAATATGTGACTTATATTTAGACCCTCATTGCCTGACACCCACTTTTTTTACTTTTATATTCTGACCCTAATATTCTGACCCTCATTTTTTAACCTTCATTTTTTGACCCTTATATTCTGACACTTAGGGCCTGACCCTTATATTACACTTAAGAGGACTTGCTACAACCCGGCCTGATACAAAAAAATGATCTTCGAATTGAAATACCCATCCCCCAATTGAATATAAAATATAATTGATTCAAGTGGATTTTATACTCAATTCAAATTTTTTTTTCGTGAAATGATCCTGGAGAAAGGAATAAAAATGAAAAATTATGAAATTTGTCTACTCGACTAATTTGCAGAATAGACAATTCTCAATTCAGAAATTTAGGATAAAATTTTTTATCATTTTTGAAAATTTGATGAGAATGAAATTTTAAGGTGAGTTGAAAAAATGCTGCAGGTTTTACTCTAGTAGTTTTCGAGTTTTAGTGAAAATTGAATTTCATTAAATGAAATGTTTTTCTACTGCATTTTTTTGATAACTTCACGGACTTCAGTCAATCTTGTCAGATTTGCAGATAAGGAGGAATTATTGTCAACGAAATAATTTGTTACTATTGGTCTACTGGACTCATTTGCAGAATAAAAAGTTCACGGTTTAGCAATTTTCAATAAAAAAAAAATTTCATGTTGGAAAATTTGAAGAAAATTAATCAAATTTTCATTTTTATTCCATTACAAATTGTTTATTTTTATTTTCATCAAATGAAAAATTTTCTTGTCTCCCGACAACTGAACGGGTGAAACGAGCCGTCTTGTTGAAATTTTGGATGAAATTTCTCTTTTCTTCTCAATAACTTCACTGATTTCATTCAATCTCGTCAAATTTTCCCGTAAAAAATCATTTTCAATAAAATAATTTGTTTTCTAAAAAAAAATGAACCGATTGTTAGAGAATTTGGGTCCTTGCATCCAATTTTTTAATTCAAATGAAAAAAAAACACTTGTATATTCTGTAGATAAAAATGATAACCGTGATTGTGATATTTGGCGTTTTAAATGCAACCCTTGATGTAAGTAGACGTAGGCACAGTTGTAATATTAATAATGATCTCGCGCAAGGAAGAAAAATTATCCTACTGATTTTTTTTTGAGGAACGAAAACCCAAGTATTATTACAGAATCGTACACGCTGAGAAAATGTTTTTCATGCTGAGTGAAAACGATAGATTATACCTGTATAGCTCGACTTGCACCGAAGGTCGACGTAAAACAAATATTGAGAGAATGGGCTACACTCATTATTTATATATCCAACTGTACAGTAACACTCGTTTAACACCATTGGGCTATGAAATTGTAGCGACAATCTGTATAAAAGAATTACAAGGAATTTAAGATTAATGAAATGAAGACACTGTATAAATTATACATAAATGTTACTCATCGCTTGTGTATTATATCTCTGATTTAATAAATGGCATGATATCCAATTATATGTATTCGCAGTCATTGACCCGTTCTTTCTAGCAATAACAAACAATTTTTTTTACAAACAGCGAACAGATTTTTTTCTTGTTGATGCCCTGTCATTGTGCCCTTTTTCCTGTCGTATTCGATATTCCTTTTTTCACTTAATTGATATAATCATTCTCATTGCAAAAAGCAATGCCACCGATGGGCATCATATGTCCCAATTTATCAGCTGTTAAATTTTCATATCACAATAAATGATTTGCTCATGTTCTAATTCCTATGCTCACCGAATAAAATTTTAATCATAATTACAGTTCAATTCCTTCTAGAACACACTTTAGAGTGTGAATTTCTGGAATTCAATGTTTGTTGATACTCTGGTAAAAGTGCGTGCCCACACTGTTATCAATTTTTAGTTAGTTCACACGGTAATTCAATTAATCTGTTGTTCATCTCATCGATATAATTCCGTGCTTAGAATATTGTCATCTCGTGTTTTCAGCACCAAATTAAAAATTAAAACTTCATTTGGAATATTGAGTCACAGCTTCTTTTTATTCATATCAGAAATTTTGTATTTGGATATTAATATTATTTGTCCAAAGTGAAAAAATCGATCATCATTTTCACTATATCGCATTCAGATTCTCCTATCCTTAACGTAAAAAATGTGAGATAATCTCATAATTCTAGCTATTAATTCTAATCAACTTTGTTCGAAGAAAACCTTAGTAAACGCAATATTAAGAAACTAGAATTATTTTATTTTCCTCTGACCTAAATGATTTGGACAATTATGATACGTTTATTCATGTTTCATAGAATGGTATTCAATTCTCTTTTGTTTGCAAGACGATTCTGTTCATGAAAATCGCTTTACTTTCTCCATTCGTTCGAGATATCCGCCACGTTCGAGTTCTCATTTTCGATTCCAGATATTGCCTATGCTTTTTTTCGAAAGGATTCACTAAATCAAAAAATGTGGTTTTCATGAAAATATCATAATTTTTGTGGCTTGAGAAGTGATTAAAGAAGACAAAAACATCTTATTTGATAGAATTGTTTTCTAATGAAATTATTTCTGTCATTTTTTATATTATTTCAAATCTTGAATAAATGGTCTTGAATGAAAGTTTCGATGATTATGAAGCAACAAGAAAATATAATGCTAAATAATAAAAATACAATCTGTTGCGCTCCTCCTAATTCCGATGATAAAAAGACAAGACCCTTTTTATTTGAAATTTTTTTTTTTTCAAAATGAAAAAGACAAAAACTTTTTATTTGATAGAATTGTTTTCTAATGAAATTATTTCTGTCATTTGTTATATTATTTCAAATCTTGAATGAATGGTCTTGAATGAAAGTTTCGATGATTATGAAGCAACAAGAAAATATAATGCTAAATAATGAAACTACAATCTCTTGCGCTCCTCCTAATTCCGAAGATAAAAAGACAAAACCCTTTTCATTTGAAAAAATTTTTTTTTACATGCCATGAATGTCTTCCCTCTCACTGGCATCATAAACGTGATTAATATGTACTAGTTTGTTTTTACTTTTTATGACAAAAAATTGAAATCACACCGACATCTCCCCCCAGATAAAGAAATAAAACAAACCATTACAGATCACTTGCCAATAGTCTCCCAAAAAACCTCTATTTTCTCAACTGTCCTGTTGCTGTCATCACGATGCCACTCACGGATGTCCGCACCGGGGAAAAAATCAGAATGTCCCCCAAAACGACCGGGTGATTGTCGTCGGCAGTTTCCCAGACTCCCTCAAAGTAATATGAATAAGACAAAAATTCTATTTTGAGATTGCGTGTCATGTGGCCGTATCCATGGCACTTGATGGAGCGATCTGAGGGCATAAGACGGGAGAGAACGAAGGGATCCCATTCAATTCATCGGAAACGAATACCCAGGTTTCCCCTCTCATCACTTTCGGTGTTTAACCACGATTCTGACTGTCCCTTCTCTGACATCAGTAAAGTCGCTACTGATTAAATGCCACCGACGTGCCAATTGCTTGGGAGTGAATCTGAACATTTCTTCTACCCTCGTTTCAATCGATCGGGGGACATGTGTCGATTTTTGTTTCGGGACGAGACGAATTTAATCACACGGAAGACAAATTTTCCCCAAAAATTCATTATTTTGCACATCATTTCCTTCACTGTTGGAAATTTTTTGAAATTTCATGGAAAATATGATGGTAATTCTCATGAGAGTGGCATTGAATCGGATTTAGGGGAAAAAAGGTTATGAAATTTCATGTTTTAGGTAGAATTCAAAGAAGTTCATGAGTTTTCAGTGGGAGTGAGACGGAAATTTCACAACTTCATTAAATTTTCAATGGAACATAAATATTCAGAAACAAAATGACATGAATTTTCAAATTCCCACAGAATTTTCCTGATTTTTCTGAATTTCCACGGAATAATTTAACTGAAAAATCAAGTAATTTATTGATTTTTAGATCATTTGAACCGAAAATCGACGGAAGATTGGATTTTTCAATGTTAATACTTTCTGAAATTTCAGTG